CTCACTTCATCCAGCACCACCGGCCCCGCCCTGCCACCCATGCCTCTCCACCCGCTGCTGTGCAGAGGGGAGGGAGGGTGAGGAGGGTTGGGGAGGGAGTAGGGGTGGTTGCAGGGAAACAGGCACAAGAGGGGAGGGTAGAGCCATGAATCGCCTTGTCAGTTCTGGCAGCACCACACCAGCAAGCAGCCCAGCCACCCATGCTGACTTTTGAGTCGACTCAAGAATCACCTTGTCATTCTGGCAGCACCACACCAGCAAGCAACCCAGCCACCATGCTGACTTTTGAGTCGACTCAAGAATCGCCTTGTTCAGTTCTGGCAGCACCACACCAACAAGCAGCCCAGCCACCCATGCTGACTTTTGAGTCGACTCAAGAATCGCCTTGTCATTTCTGGCAGCACCACACTAGCAAGCAGCCCAGCCACCCATGCCATGCCCCTCCACCCTTACCTGTAGAGAAAGAGGAAGGGCGGTGGCACATGCAGCAGCGAACCACTGTAGCAGCACAGAGGGAGCATCACCACCAACGCACTGGTGCAGAACTCAGAGTCGAGTTGGCGCAAGTGCCAGAGGTTTCAAATCCAGCCGCTCTTGCAAGGGCAGGGCAGGGGGAGTGACCGTGCATGTGTATCTACAAGGATAAGAGGATGAAAAACAGCTGCGCGTGCAGCAAAACATAGCAGCAGCACTCACGGAGTCGAGCTGGTGCAGGTGAGAGAGGTTGACGTCCAGCCTCTCTTGCAGGGGCAGCGCATGGGGGGCGACCATGCACTCCGCATCGGGTCCCAGTGCGGCAAAAAGCTGCCTCTCTGCTTCGCTCACGCCCTCCTCCAGTGCTGTGCGCTGGCCTACAGCTTCCTGCACTGCCTGTAATGCGAGAGACAGGAGAGGAGAGGAATCGAAGGGAAAAGGAAATGCACTCAGCATCGGGTCCCAGCGCATCCAGCAGCCTCTGCTCCGCCGCCCTCACGCCCTCCTCCAGTGCTCTGCTGCCTGCTGCACTGCGGCTGCAGTGTGAGGGCATGAGGGGCAGGAGGGCCAGGAGGGGTCGAAAGGAGGGGAAATGGATTACTGTGCAAAATGACCTTACTTGCAGGGCACTTAGTTAAGTGGTTGAAAGTATTGCATGGCATGAAGCAGCACTGGAAACACACAATCCACGTCATCACATCACACACTTCACCTTCTCGTAGGCCTTATCCACGGCATCTGCAACGGCCAATCGTAGCTCCTCTGAGCGAGTCACCTTGTCCTCCCCTATCTCCTGAGGAAGAGAGAGGGAGAGAGAAAAGGCGGAGAGAGAGAAGAGAAAGCAAGACGAGAAAAGGGGGGTGGAAGGTGGGAGAAAAGGAATGAGAAAGAGAACAAGGGAGGGATGAAGGACGTGGGAGAGAGGGTGGGAGTTCAGAGAGGCATGCTCCCTCACCCCATCCTCCCCTCATCCCATGCTCCCTCACCCCATCCTCCCCTCATCCCATGCTCCCTCACCCCATCCTCCCCTCATCCCATGCTCCCTCATCCATCCTCTCCTCATCCCATGCGTCCCACCTCCCATATGACATGCAGCTCCGCCTCCCAGTCGCCGTGTCTCAGCGACGCCTCGTCCAAACTCTTGTGCGCGTGAACAGCGTCTTCAGCTCACCTCCCTCCTTTCGATCTCACCCACCGTCTACCTTGTAACGCACCTCCCAGATGACGTGCAGCTCCGCCTCCCAGTCACCGCGTCTCAGCGACGCGTCGTCCAGGTTCTTGTGCGCGTTGAAGAGCGTCTTGAGCTTGGGCACCTTGGGGCCGCACTGCCCCACGCCCGCCTCGCACTTGCACCAGCAGTGACTCATTGTAGACTAATTCGTGGATACAGGGTCATTCGAGCGGCCACATGAGACTCGACTGTGAGACTCGCCCGCGAGGAAGGCAACGATCAAAGAGCGCAGGCCTCGGCAGTTAATGTAGGTGTTTTTTGAGAATGGAAAAAAAAAGGCACCTGCTTTTTTAGAATTCTCTGAAAACACCTGCGTTTTGAGAGTTCTCTTTAAACGCCCGCGAGGGAAGGCAACGAAAAAAGGAGCGCAGGCCTCGGCAGTCAATGGGTACCTCTGGGATTGAACTTCAATCTACCAGTGCGAGAACCAAGAGGGTATTCGCCGCTGACAGTCCTGTGATCAGCGCGTAAAACCGAGATTGAGTCTTCCCATCGCGCAAATAAAACACTCGATAGAGCTGATCCTCCAAGTAAGATTCTGGTCACGCGAGCTGCTGTGCTTGTTGCGAGGCAAATGCGATCAGGCCGTGAACAGGAGATAAGGCCGTGGTCGGATCGGATGGAAAGTGAACTCGAGTGCGATGAAACCAGATTCTAGTTTCTAGAGTGAGGCGATGGTCGGGGGGGTCAGGATTCAGGAAGGAATCGTTAGGAGGCGGCTTTTTCAGACGGCGTTGCCGAATCCGGGAATCTCGATGTTTGGGGATCGCCGTAAGCGGCTCCGTTATCCGGCGGTATTGTAAGTCATGTCACCTCACACAAAATCACAAGCCGATATCAAGCATCCATTAACGCATAGCTAGGGTTTACGTTTCTTACTCCCATAGCTCATCTACACCTGTCATTGCACAGCGGCTCAAAGCTAGGACCAAACCAAACCTAACACAAATTTATTAATAATACAAGGTATACCAAGCCTTACTATCATATTTTCAATCTTGACACAAACTTGGTACCACCCAGTGCTGCCAGCTCAGCAGCCACCGAAGTCACCATTCCCTTGAGCTCATCCTTCCTATCTGACACAGGGGCCTCTAAACTGTCCTCTACAGTCAATGGAGCCAAGGGGGTCAAAGCAGGAGCAGGAGTCTGTGCAGGCATCATTGCCCTGGCTGGACCCACACTCCAACTGTCAGCTACAGGTCCATCGGTGCTGCTGATATCACTGCTCCCACTGCCCCCACTGCTCCCACTGCTGCCATTTTCACTGGCAACTCCCCCCGATGCTGATGCACCCAGATCCACCCCCCCCCACGCCTGCTCCCCCACTCCTGCTCTCGCCTGCTCTCCTGCTGCAGCAATTGCAATTCCATCAACCCACTCCCACGTCCCCGCACCGCCCCCACTCTCTGCCGGGGCACAGTCGCATGCCCCCACGCCGCAATACACGCCCTTGTCGCCCTTCTCACGTCCTCGTCCCTCGCCCCCCCAGCCCACAGAGCGCCGACTGCAGCACGGGCGCCGAGTCCAAGAACTGGAAGTGCCCCGCGTCTCGCAGCACCACCTCCCAGCTGGGGTTACCCGCCTCTTTAAAGAACCAGCGGTAGTTGGAGGCGGCAGGGGCGCAGTCGCCGGGGTACCCCCCGCCCACGACGAGTGTGGGGAGGGAGAGCGCGAGCCCTGGTTGGCGGGGTGCGCGTCGGCCAGCAGGTGCTCGATGGCACTGGTGCCCGCCCGCATGGCTGCCACGGCTGAGGGGTATCCGGGGGCCAGAGGTGCATAGACTGGAGGGGGGAGGGGGGGAAGAAAGAGGGGGGGGGGGCGGGAGAGTGGAGACAGGGAAGGCATAGCAGAGGGACGCATATGAGACTACTATCAGGACGCTCGATGGCTAGCAGGTGCTCGATGGCGCTGGTGCCCACCTGCATGGTTGCCACAGCTGACGGGTACCCTTGGACCAGAGGAGCGTAGACTGGAGGGAGAGGGGGAAGGGGAGGGATAGGGAGGGATAGGGAGGGAGAGGCCAGGGGATAGAGGATTGATGGTGCTGGTGTCGGCTCGCATGGCTGCCACCGCTGACGGGTACCCAGGGGGGCCAGAGGCGCGTAGACTGGAGGGAGAATGTTGGAGCCTACAGAATGCTCAGCAGCTTTGGGTTCATCAATTGGACTCGTCCTGGCGCCCAGAACAGCCACTGCTACTGACATGTAGGGCGGAGAAAGATGTCAGCAGCAGTACGCCAGGGAAAGAGGCTCCATGGCCTGAGCAACCGATACAAGCAGAGGAAGACTGTGCCACCGAGTCACAACGAACATTGTGCCACCAGTAACATTGTGCCACCAGTAAGATTGGGCCACCAGTAAGATTGTGCCACCAGGAACACTGTGCCACCAGGAGCATTGTGCCACCAGGAACATTGTGCACCAGGAATATTGTGCCACCAGGAGCATTGTGCCACCAGGAACATAGTGCCACCAGGAACATTGTGCCACCAGGAACATTGTGCCACCAGGAACATTGTGCCACCAGGAACATAGTGCCACCAGGAGCATTGTGCCACCAGGAGCATTGTGCCACCAGGAGCATTGTGTCACCAGGAACATTGTGCCACCACGAACATTGTGCCACCAGGAGCATTGTGCCACCAGGAACATTGTGCCACCAGGAAGATTGGGCCACCAGGAAGACGAGCTTCCTTGTGCTGCCAGCCAACTCACTTGTGTTATCGACAGGGTCCACCAGTCCCAGCGATAGCACTCTAGGGTCCATAGCTGCTGCGAGCACGCTAACCTTAGCTGCAGGCATCCATGGGGATGGGGAGGCATCGGGATGCATACACACACCGGGAGGGAATAGTGAGATGAGATACGGGTGTACAAGCACTCAGACATGTACGCGCACGCACAAATAGAGAATGCATATGGACGTATAGTGTAGAGAAAGCGAGGGCTTACCCCCTCTGGAGTGGCCGCAAAGATACACCCGCGTGTTGTCTGCTATCCTGCGAAGCACATGGCTGGAAGGGAGGGGAAGTGCATGCAGCCAGGAGCAAGGCCTTGAGAAACACGGCGGCTGCAGCATTTGGGCGGTAGGCGAATTAGAGATGAGCTGCGGCTGCATGGGATCATGAGAATTACAGACAAGCATTTAATGCCATACACTCGCCACCACCTGGTGCCAGCCCAGATGACGAGCTCTGTTATGAATCGCGACCTTGCTGTATCACCTGGTGCCATGGACGCACACCTTGTGCCACAGACTCAAGCAGTACCTGGTGCCTTGAACGCACCTGGTACCAGCCCAGTTGATGAGCTCAGTGATGAATCGCGCACAGATGATGTCATCTAGCGGCCCCATCAGTCCCTCCACCTGGGGGCGTTGGGGGGGTTGTGGGGGGGGGGGGGGGGGGTGTTGCGTGTTCGTGTCAGAGGCGCCATGATGCAGCAGTTATGATGACACATGCATGTGGCACATCGGCTCCGTCATTCTGCCATACATTCATATGTGTACATGTGCGCATCGGCACTGTATGGATGTCTGTAAACTGCACAACAAAGTGAACAGCCGTCTACAGGTGCTTCACCACTGTGCATCGATACCCATTCACTCACTGACATGTGTCAAGTCGGATGGAAAATCACGTGGGACAGGCATCACAGATCTTGGGTCAAAATGACAGGCACAAATAGTCGCATGCCTTGTTGTAAGTGACGACGCAAAGCCCCAACTCGCCAGGTGCTCCGCATAACTGCGGTACTGTGCCGAGTCCAGCAGGAATCCGCTGCTGAACACCGCCAGCGGGAACTTGTCCTCCTGCGAGTAGCAGGGGGGGGCAGGGAGGGGTAGCAACGGGGGGTGAACGTCTTGCATGAGAGGTAGAGACCAGCAGGAATGCACTGCTGAACATCGCCAGGGGGAACTCGCTCTCCTGGAGGAGCTGCAGGAGGAGTGAGTAAGCGAGCAACAGTCGGGAGGTTGAGTGGGGGGGTGAGGGGGTGAGGGGGATGAGGGGTGCGAGGACAGGTGGCAAACAGTTGGCCGCACCTGTAACGAGTATTGAGGCGTCCATGCCGTGTGGCGCATTCTCGCTGGGTAGGTCACCGTTATTCGCAACAAGCAGCCGCCTGCGCACACATGATCAACGCAAAAACAACCGCCTCAGCATATGAGCTTGTACAACTAAGCCCTTGCAGCTTGGCTGCTGAACCCCGACCAGAGTGTGGATGTGGGGAGGTGAAAATCAAATAAGCGAGTAAAACGGACGGCGGGCGAAAACAGCCAGAATCAAACAAAGAGCGATGGAAATAACAGCCTTCAAGCACGTCGTGGCTTAGACTCTCATGCCAATCGAAATGATGCAGACCACCCAAACCCAGCTGGTATTAACAGCCCTTGCTACCTCCACTAACCTGCTGCGCAGTCCGGGAAGCATGACGCGCACGTGTGCTCCTGATGGTACAGATTTTCCACATCGTACGGCCCAGATTCGCTGAACCTCTTCTCCGCGATCAACCCCTCGTGAACAGGAACAAGCCGAGCGTCGGACCCCGCTTCCGACACCCACAGGCCTTGCCTGTCGTCCAGCAGGCTCCTCGATTCGCCAGGGAGCGAATCAACGTCTGGCTGTAACGGTAACGGCAACGGTGTCGCGTTACTCGAACCCTGGATGGACCATCGCCGACCGTTGTTACTCCGTAACGGTCGGCCCGCTCTGTCGCCTCCGCCTTCTAGAAGGATTCCACCGCCGGCTAGCGTGGCTCCTGCGAGCAAGAACCTTCGTGGAATCGTCCTGGAGCTATCCTGCTTGGCATCAACGCCAGGTCCAGCTTCCGCTCCTCCTGAATCTCGTGAGTCTCCTAAAACTGGTGAATCTTGTAATTCTCGTGGGTTTTGCGATTCTTGAGAGTCGAAGTGGCTAGCAGTAACGGCCTCCCGTTGTGTGTGGAGATCTGACTTACTGCTGCCTTCTGCAAACGAGAAAGGCGTGAACACAGGTGAGAGCGAATTAGAGGCGATTGCGAGAGCGGGAGTGGAGGTTTTAGATGAACGACGCTCTCTGATCATGATGATCCAGAATTACCTGATGATCATGAGGATTGCGTACGTGTGGAGTGTCGATTACCTGATGACGTCGAGGGGTCGCCTGCTGAACATCTCAATCTCCTGGGAACGTCTCGACGGGACGGAGAGCAAATCTTATGGGACGATTCTGATGGTGACCTGGGAAAGGCACCGGAGACACTGCTAGGCGGAATGACAAGCTTCTGTGCGAGTGCGAAAGCCATTACGCAATGAACACGTGAAAGTCCTCTAACTAGAAGCTCGACGAGGAAACGACGCTGGAAGAGCTCTGGTTAGCCAAGATATTGCACAAACAGTTGTTAGCAGCTTCCTAATCAAAGCATCCCAATGCTGCTTCTACGAAAAAACATGCCTGACTTCTTCACAAGCCCTCCGACGCGCAGTTGGCAAGAAAGGTTCGCTCCCTGCTGACTACAGCAAGGACGTGCGACCGAAGCTGGAGGTCCCGACTCGACATGGCTCAGAGCCATGGCGGCGCGGTCAGGTGGAGCACATTTTCCCGAGGTGAGAAGCCCAGCTGGATCTGTCCGTGTGTGCAGCGTTATCACCCTCCTGACACTTGGGAGTATCCCGTTCTCTTGAACCTTGAAAACG